AATAGTAATAAAAGTTGTACCTGAGGAGGAGAGTACTCACGTTTACCTGGGGTTCTCACAGAAGTAGAAGCTTTGAAATCCAAACTGAAAATCTGCTCATCCCCTGCCTCACACGCATTCTCCAGTTTCTGTTTTGAATTCCTTTGAGCTTAAACATGAAAGCTGAAGTCTGTTTGACTTGTGGAAAACCTATCAGAAGCTAAAAGCAAAGTTACTCAAAATGAGAGAGAGAGAAATTTCTTTTCATTCCTCTTTCCCCAAATATCTATGCCATTTGGGTGCATTCTTCTGATTTTTACCTTTTTTATGTTGCAATTTTTGGGTCTTTTTACTGATTTTTTTCCCATTTTAGGGTCTTTTGGATCTTTTGGGGTCTCCCTGATTAGGGGAAAGTTTGCAGGGAGAACCACGGTTCTCTGCATCGCATTCTGTTAAAGCGTATCACTATCTGCCTCTCTTGGCAGAAGCATTTGTCTCCATACTCCAGAATTTCAAGTAACAAAACTTTGTCTGGATGAGATGAGGTAACAGAGTTTAATTCAGTGTATATATATATGTATGGTTAGTGAAGAACAACTGTGCAAAAACACCACAGAAGCTAAACTGGCGAGATTATTCCTTCGCTGAAGACTTTCTCATCCATCGTTTTTGGGAATAACACTTGTTTTAGTTCTCAGTTACTCCGATTTCAGGCAAAATTTGGTATTCTTTCACTTCAGCTGAAATGAACGTAAGAATTTAAGTAACATAAAGCTAAAGTTATATTGAAGGCTAACAAAAGTGACTGGGGATGGCTGAAAAGTTGAAGGTTCCCATATACAGGTACAGCAGAGGATTGTGCAGTGAAGGAGGAAAACACACGTGCCACATCCATGTCAGCATGTTGCTAGTGCTAATTCTTAGGGGTATTTATAATAGTGTGAACTCAATTTGAAACTCACTTTGTGCTTGTAGATTATAGATGCTCTTTTTTTCTGCATGCCTTTTGAAGAATTGGCTGTTACTTAAGGTTATTGGTCTTGCTTGAGTAGAAGGACATAAAGTTATGGGTACTTAAATTAAAATTGATCTAGCAGTGGGGCAGAGCTCTGGCAGCTATGTCATTCCAACATGGTGTCACTTTACGGCAGCTCCCCTATATGAAGTGTTCTCCTGGGTGCTGCGTTTCCTGCACATAACTTCTAGAGTTTCAAATTTCTTGTAAGTGGCAAGACGCTTTTTTTTGGTGGGTTTCTTTTAAAGTGCTTGGGTGCTGCCATCCCGCTTTCCTTGTCACCTGTCGAGTCTCTGAGAGACTGGGGAAGGGCTGTGTGTTATCCACACTTTCTTTTTAATTAACACGCACCTCTTTATAATAATTTTTTTCTGCTTTGGGAGTGTGTTTATTATTACTGCCATCCTCCTAGGATACTCCTCGAAATCCCGTTCAGTTGTCTGTAAGGTATACGAATCAGGAGTATGTTTTGAGATGGGGGAAGGGCTGGGAAGGCAATAATGAAAAAAGGGAGGAATCCGAAAAGGAAATGACTTTGCAATTCAGGTAATCTTGATGGGAGAGTAATAAAGATGATGCTAATGATATTGCGGGGGGCAGGGAGCAAGAGGCAGGATGGAGACAAGACTTTGAGAGAGAGAAAAAAAAATGATGTGGTCAACTGCTTCTTTTATCCTGAGTCTGCCAAGGGCTTAAAATTAAGTGCAAACTGAGGTCAGAGGGTGTATGTCAGCTCTCAGGACCAGGGCATAACTTTGAGTAAGCTACACAGGCCCATGTGTAATTAAAGTATGTGATTAAGCTATTGGAAATACATTTGCTGTGCTGAACATCTCGGATTCCATGCTCCAGCCTGAGCTTCTTACTCATTTTCTCTTACATTTCCGTGACTTGTTTGTTTAAAACAGAAGTTTTTCACAGCAGCAAACTGTTCCTTGATACTTTTCCCTAGCACCTAACTCAGTAGGGCATCTGTGTTAATAGCAGCCCAGTAGGTCATATCACATCAGCTGGTCATAGCAGGATTCCTCCAGCTGCTACTTCCTAATTAAGTTAAGATCAGGTGAGAATGAGCTGTGGTTGTAGTGCATCTCATTTCATTTTGTTTGCGTTTTTCTTCCCTTAAGCCTGGTATTTGAGAAGTGCATGGGAATTTAGTTCTAGATCTTTTCCATAGCATATTTAATTTTTGTTTACTGTTTGCTTTGAAGGGGGGGAAGAAAATGAAACCAATAGGTGCAGAGAATGAAGAGCTGTTACCTTGCATGGAGGTCTGAGAATCTGACAGTGTTTAGCATGAGACCGGGGTGGCAGGGAGTAAATGCCAAAAAAAAAAAAAAAAAGGCAGAATTAATGGAGAATGCATGTAGTTCTGAATAATTCAAGTAAAAAATCTGATAAGTAAACAAGGCAGCGAATAGTAGGGAGGAAGCATTACCCATTTTTGTACAGAGATATGAGTTACCTCTGTTAGAGTCTGGTTTAGAGGTGCAAAATGTACTTTTCCTTAAATCCCAGCTCTGGCATGAACCAGCAAGACTCCTCGTTCTGCCTGTGGGACGAAGGCATGTGTATTGCAAGTGTGGCCTCTATGTCATTAAGCTGGGTGCCACAAATGGACAAAATATTTTATTAATCCACTGAAATAAATGGACATGGAGGTGAACTGAGTGCAGAAATTAAGGTACAATAAATTACTTTCCATTCATTTGAGGCATATTTTATAAGTATAGCTATTTATGGCTTTTTTTGACTGAGAGCAGAGATGATAATAATCTAACGATAATTACCTTGTGGGAAAAACAGGAACAATGAATCTGAATTCTTTGGTGTTTGATCCTTATGCAGTAGATAGTAAAATGATAAAACTTTTATGAAACAACATTGCAGTAGTATGTCGACCTTTTTTTTATTTCATTGCAGATAACTTAAGGGAAAATATTTGAAACTAGATGACATGCATTATGACATACCATTTAGCCACAGAGATGTAAACTGGGATCAAAGCTTGTCTGGAAAATTGAGGTCCTTGGAAACAGGAAGAAAAGAGGAATTTCTGACAAATAATAGCAGAATTCTTGTGGGTTCCTTAGAGCAAGTCTAAGGTTGTTGTAGAGAGGTCCAACACTTCATTACATTGCAAGGCAAGTGCTGAAGTCCGTGTGTCTGAAGAATGGGTTATAATTCTTAGCCTTTTCTGGTCACTGTCATATGAGGTCGACCTATCATTAGAAGTCAGGCTTGTGCTGTCAGTAACGTGCTGTCTCTTCTTTGACCTCATTTTAGTTAGTTACTCAGTTTGGTACATGATAAGAGCTTTAGCAAAACAAGATTGAAGTTAGCCTTTTATTTTGCCTTCATTATTACCCTGAGTTACATTTCGTAGGTTTTTGGTTTTTTAGAAGTTAGAATCACTCTGCTTTTAGAAAAGGTGTTCTCACCATTGCACACGCATTTTCTCCGTAGAGGAGCAAAATGCAGTCCATACTGGAGGATAGGAGTTGTCTTTCTGCATTGCTGGCAATGCCAGGGTGGTTTGGGGAGCTGGCAGATGGCTTGTGCTCACAAGAAGAGTCCTTCCCTCCCTGCTCAAACTTTTGCAGCCCAGTTGTTGATGTTTAACATTAGTTATCCAGTATAAATGATGATTCAGGCAATTCTCTTTCACATCCCACCAGAGTCTATTGCTGCTGCCAAAACAAAAGTTATATCTGACACAGGAGCATGATTCCTTTACTATTATTTTTATTATTTCTCTTTTATTTTTTCAGTTCCTCGTTTTGGCATTCTATGCTATTTTCCTCCTCCTACAAGGCTTTCACCTGTTAGATTACTTTGTTAAATGTTTCTCTTGTCTTTTCTGGGTTTTTATTTTTTCCTTTCTATTCACAGTTCCAGATATTTTCAGATTTAACTTGAGATTCCCTGTAAGTTTACAGGTTCTTCCCTCATCAGACTATGGAGTCACATGGCTAACTTTGAAAATGAAAATACTGTGGATCATATTGTTTTTCAGTACTTCCTCCAAACAGTATTTATCTTTTCCCCCTAACATTGGTGTGTCTGAGCATGCCACTTTCTGTTTTCTGCTCTCAGAACTAAACACTTGCAGAAAACATTGACAAAATGTTTTGTGTTTAGGAAGCCAGTTGGGGCTTGCCTCCTCATTTAACTGTTAGGTTAAAATTAGAGCTCTTCTTAGAAGTTTCAGAAGGTCTTTGTCTAATTCCAGACAGCCAGATGATCTGCTTGGGAAGTAAAAATTCTGGAAGAAAAAAAACAGTAACAGAATCTTAAGCCCATAAAACTCTAAGTGATGGTCTTAAGACAGATTTGAAAATATTAAGTTGTAGTGCTCAAGTGAATTGTTGGACTGTAATGCATAACAGCAGCCAAAGGCAATGTTGCATATTAAGGGCTCTACTGTCTTCCAGCTTTACATTGATGAAGGATTAGTGTAATGCCTTCTCGAAGAGCATCAGCAGCCAGATCCAGACTTACTTGTAGTCAGTGGAAGGTTTTTTATCTTTCTGGGGGAAGTCCTGCAACACCAAATGTCTCAAACACTTTTATGTAAATTCTCCCCCTCTATTAAGGAGGAGCCACACGAAACACTGGGATCCTCCAGATTATTTTTAAAATCTCAACAATAAATAATTCACACAGTATGAAACTGTCTGGAGAAGCACTACCACTTCTTGGCACTCTGCGTTGTCTCAAATTGCCTGTTGTTCTCATTGTGCTTTAGCACAGGATTGATTATCTAATTGGTTATATGATAATCAATTAGACATATGACCTTGTTTAATCCCTCCCCAACATATTAAATTGCTAGGCAATTAACAGGATTTGAGGCTTTCCATAATCTTCATGATGTCTACACATGCATAAGGATAAGTGTATTTGTGTCTGAAATCATGAAAGAAAAAACCCTTCATGTTGCTGAATTTTGTGTAAATTTTATTTTTCAATATGTTTCATGTTCTTCTTTTCTTTCCCTTTTTAGGTATTACATAGAAATGGCTTTATGGATCTGGACACTGAGCATTTTGAGCTGTTTTTGCATCACCTTATGCAGAAATGAAGAACTGAAATTTTTTCAGAGTGCTACAGAGCTAAATCATCTAACGGTGGATAATGACACTGGGATAATCTATCTGGGAGTGGTAAATGCTCTGTATCAGCTTACAGAAAACCTGGATGTAATAAGGTCTGTAGAAACAGGTCCAAGAAAGGACAACAAAAAGTGCACACCTCCCATTGATGAAAATCAATGTAAAGAGGCAGTACTGACTGACAATTATAACAAATTACTGTTGCTGAACAAGGCGGATAAAACAATTGTGGTGTGTGGAAGCCTTTTTAAGGGAATCTGTGCCATCAGAGATCTAGAAGATATTAGCAAAGAGAAGTATTACGTAGACAGTAGTGGAGAAAAGTCCTTTGTAGCAAGCAACGATGAGAATGTATCAACTGTGGGATTGATCACTTCCTTGAATAACGACCGAGTGCTCTTTGTTGGGAAAGGGAATGGACCAAATGATAATGGGATAATAATCAGTACTCGGCAGCTCTACGAAAGGGATGGAAAAGACATTTTTGAAATGTATACAGACTCGGCAGCTGTTAAGTCAGCTTATCACTCGTCAAGCACGCAACAATTTGTGGCGGTCTTTGAGGATAAAAATTATGTTTATTTTATTTTTAATCAACAAGAGAAACAGCCCGTCAATAACCGCACACTGATTGCACGTCTGTGCAAAGACGATGCCCATTATTATTCCTACTTTGAAATGGACTTAGGTTGCAAAGATGATGATGGTGCCTATGACCACTGTCATTCTGCTTACGTCACTACCCCAGGAGAAGAGCTGGCTGAGAGCATGGCTCAGCAGAGACAAACTACGGATGCTCTCTCAGATGACAAAGTTCTTCTTGCACTCTTCAGCAAAGTAAACAAAGATAACGGCTCTCTAAAATCTGCCATGTGTGTGTTTTCCTTGCGGCACATCAATGAAAAGATGGAAAAAAACCGGAACGATTGCTACACTAAAAAGAATACCAGCTCATTTTACAAACTTTTTGCAGCAGAAAACCCGTGTGCATCACATGGACTGGTAATATCAGTTCTAAAACTGATGTTTTAGAATCTGTATTAGAATTAGTGGAAAATGTACAACTGCATGTTTTTGGGTGGCTTTGAGCTAAACTATAGTGAGATCAGATGACTAAAAACTCAATAGCTGGATTTACTATAGAAATGGAACATGGTTGGGAGGGTTGCAGAAAGGTCAAGCAAGAAGTGGCAAGATAGTCATAATTTTGAGTCTTTTGAAAAAGGTTTGATGTCTTCTGAAAGATGAATATTGGTTTCGTAAGTGCATTCCTTTTAAAGGGTTCCTCCTGGTATGGAAATTACTGAGTCAAATGCAGAGATTTGTTAGGCCCATGACCAGCTTCCGGATGATCACTATAGACAATTCTGGTTTCAGCCAACATATTTGTAATGTTTTTAAATGGTATTAAGAATCTTGTCGGTGATATCTGGAGTTCAGTGTTGTTTCTCACCTGGATTTGAATTTTCAGATAACTTGAAATATGCATGTTTCTTATATCCAGGTGGTGTTCATATTTTGCTCTGGCTCAAAATACTTCCATAGCATGGTGGTCATCTTCCTTTTCTTTTTATGGCTTGTCATTACCTTGGCTATAAGGTTTTTGGAGGGCACTGTTACACCCCTCCAGACACTGGTCTTCAATTTACGACTGAGCCTCTGAGAGGCAGTTTTCAGCATCTCTGTTGACTTTATGATGTTTTTGCCCACACCACTCAACCTATTCCCAAGCCCTACTTGTGCATGCCATTCATTACTGCAGCCAATGCTAAACTGAGTTGAGGAATTGAATCATCTTAAAAATAACTCGGCCAGCTTTTAGGAGGATGTCTTAATTCCCCAACCTGAGCAAGTTACACACTTGCATAAGCAGCTGTTTAAGCACAGCTTGAGAAGTGGTGCGCTACAGCCCAGGGGTAGGAGTGAACAGCTGAAGAGATGGGGCATGGGAATACCTTATGTTGGTATTGACCCAGGATCCTTCATCTCATGAAACCAGAGCCCTCTCCTGCACAGTAGGTCGCTAGTACTGATAAGAAGCCAAAAGAACATTCTTTGCTTCCAAACACCGGTGTTACTCACTGCAGTACCCTGCATCTGAGGTGAGCATCAAACGTAGAAATCTTGAATGTAACAAGTGGAGTGGCCGTGGCATCCGGCAAAAAGGAGGTGTGGATTTCAGATCAGAAAGACAGTCTTGTTACCAAATATAGCAGGAAAAACAAGGTGTGAATGAACTTGCCACCTTCTGGTGGCACTCCCTGCAGCTCAGGATTAAAGCATAGTGAAGAGGGAATGTGTTGACGTTCACGAGACGGTTGCCTGTGGGTTGCTTTTCTATGGGTAGCAGCAAATTAACAAACAAAACAGCATTAAAAAACCAGTCTTCAACACAAAACTGGTCAACCCAATCTATATGACGTGTTCATTTTAATTAAACAAACTGGTTACTTTTTAAACTGTGCTGCTATAATGAAATAGAAACAAAAAAATTTTCTCTCCATGTCTCCTGGAAAGTGAAAGCATTGAAGCAGTTTGCAATTAGCAGGCTGCTTTCTGATTGCTGCCTGTAGGCTGGGGGAAAATGGCCACACAATCCATTTCTCTGTTTCTGCTCTCCTATGTCTGAGGGGTATTATACTGTCTGGTAATAGGGTTGCACTTCATTCTTAGCTAGGAATTAGTGATCTGAATGTTTAACACCGCTCTGTATTGCTATTCCTTATTAGAATGCAAGCAAAAATTTCCCCTGTGGCTCCGAACACTTGCCGTACCTTTTGGGAAGTAAGAATGGTGTTATAGAGAAGCCAGTACTACAAAAAGAAGGGATGAATCTCACGGCTGTCACTGTGGCTGTGGAGAACGGGCATACCGTAGCCTTTCTGGGAACGTCGGATGGTAAAATTCTTAAGGTAACAAAAATCAGACTTAAAAGACAAATGTGTTTAAAAGGTCGTGAACTGTAGTGATAGCATACTTCCACTCTAAAAGTAAATGGGATTTATAAGATCGCATACCAGGAGCAAATTTTCTTGGAGCTTGGTATTTTTAATTTCAAAGAAAAACCACATTATTTCTGATGTACCTCAGCTATCCGATACACAGGTTGAATTAGCATCGCCTGACTGACACTCTCCTGAAGGATTAGATACCTACTGAGAGCACTGTATAAAGAGCCTTAGGTAATCTAACAGCTGCTTTAGCCTTATCTCTATTCAAGCCCATACTAGTTTAGAGCAACTTTTCATTTTGTAATCATTCTGGCCATCCAGTGAATAGAGATGGCAATACAAAGCCCAAGCTGGAGCTCTGCTAAGTTCTGACTGTGTGGTGTAGGGCTCAAGCGTTCAGGTGTTTTGTGGTTTAACCTCAGTTGGCAACTGAGCACCACGGAGCCGCTCGCTCACTCCCCCCACAATGGGATGGGGGGGAGAATTGGAAGGGTAAAGGTGAGAAAACCCGTGGGCTGAGATAAAAACAGTTTAATAGGTAAAGCAAAAGCCGCGCATGCAAGCAAAGCAAAACAAGGAATTCATTCACTCCTTCCTATGGGCAGACAGGTGTTCAGCCATCTCCAGGAAAGCAGGGCTCCATCACACGTAACGGTTATTTGGGAAGACAAACGCCATCACTCCAAATGTCCCCCCCTTCCTTCTTCTTCCCCCAGCTTTATATACTGAGCATGACATCACATGGTATAGAATATCCCTTTGGCCAGTTTGGGTCAGCTGTCCTGGCTGTGCCCCCTCCCAGCTTCTTGTGCACCTCCAGCCTTCTCAGTCGGCAGAGCATGGGAAGCTGAAAAGTCCTTGACTGGTGTAAGCACTGCTTAGCAACAACTAAAACATCAGTGTGTTATCAACATTGTTCTCACCCTAAATCCAAAACACAGCACTGTACCAGCTACTAGGAAGGAAATTAACTCTGTCCCTGCCGAAACCAGGACAGGTGTTTGTGGTATTAAAATGTCAAGACTGCAATGCCAAACACCTTCTTTTGCTTGAAGGGGATTGATGGCCATGTGCCACTACGTGGTTTGAAATTTGAAGCTGAAGCTGTTAGTTACCATAAGAAAAGACAACAAATTTGAACACCTTCAAGTGCAAAAGCTCTGAGTTGAGAATTTTAATTTTACAGTGCTAAAATAAATCAGTATTTACAAAAAAAAGGATACAAATATTAGCTACTGTGAGCAGTGAGCAATTTCTTTTCATGACTTTTATGCTTTGCTTGCTGCTTTTGATACCATATACTTCAAATTGAAATGTTTTCCCTGATGTGAATTTGTGAACTTGAGTAAACACAGGATTTTCATTAATCATGGAATCATAGAATAGTTAGGGTTGGAAGGGACCTCTAAAGGTCATCTAGTCCAACCCCCCAACAATGAGCAGGGACATCTTCAACTAGATCAGGTTGCTCAGAGCCCTGTCCACCCTGACCTTGAACGTTTCCAGGGATGGGGCATCCACCACCTCTCTGGGCAACCTGTGCCAGTGTTTCACCACCCTCAGCGTAAAAAATTTCTTCCTTATATCTAGTCTAAATCTATCCCCCTTTAGTTTAAAGCAAT